AAAGAGGCCCTGTGTTTCTACCCATTAAAGGATGCAGCTACTTTAAAGGGGCCCTGAGCGTCTAACTATTAAAGGATGCAGCTTCTTTAAAGGGGCCCTGCACTTCTACCCATTAAAGAATGCAGCTACTTTAAAGAGGCCCTGCGCTTCTACCCATTAAAGGATGCAGCTACTTTAAAGGGGCCCTGAGCTTCTACCCATTAAACGATGCAGGTACTTTAAAGAGGCCCTGTGTTTCTACCCATTAAAGGATGCAGCTACTTTAAAGGGGCCCTGAGCGTCTAACCATTAAAGGATGCAGCTACTTTAAAGAGGCCCTGAGCTTCTAACCATTAAAGGATGCAGTTACTTTAAAGAGGCCCTGTGCTTCTATCCTTTAAAAGATGCAGCTACTTTAAAGGGGCCCTGAGCTTCTAACCATTAAAGGATGCAGCTACTTTAAAGGGGCCCTGAGCTTCTAACCATTCTAAAGCAGGTCTTCTGAATCATTTTGAAAACGTGCACCACTCTGTGGAACACGTTTTTTCTAAACTAGAGAATTAGCGTAAAAGGCCCAAGGAAATTCAAAGTCCCCAAGCATAAAAGTACACAGGTAGTCCTCCACCTATGACCGCAATTGACCCCTAGATTTCTGTTGCTAAGCGAGACAGTTGTTAAGCAAGTTTTGCCCCATTTTACGACCTCTCTTGCCACCATTGTTAAGGGACTCTCTGCAGTTGTTAAGTTAGTAATGCGGTTGTTAAGCGAAGCTGGCTTCCGCCACTGACTTTGCTGGTCAGAAGCCGATCACATGACCACGGGACACTGCAACCGTCACTGATACGAAACAGTTGCAAGGATCCAAATTTGGATCACGTTGACCAGAGAAAACTCTCCCAAAAGACCAGAAACCTGCAAAAAAAAAACCTGTCATAAATTGTGGTCATGTCACTGCAGAACACCACAACCAGCCATAAAGGCGAGCCGGTTGCCAAACACCGAAAAAGCAGTCGTGTGACCACAAGGGATCGGGAACCGGATCATAAATTAGTTTTTGGGGACTCCGCGATGACTTTGGACGGTTGCTAAGCCCCCCGTTCGTAAGTGGAGGACTACCCCGAGGCGTGTCAAAGGATGCGCTTCGGATGTTCCCGAGAATATTGTAAAGTGTTCCTTCTCCTTTCCCCTTCCCTGTCTCTTCTCAAGTACCTTTGTGAATGCCAGTTCGATGACAATCTAAAGTTTAAGAATATCATCAACGAGGAAGACGCCGATGCCATGCGCCTTCAGCCTCTGGGCCGAGACAAAGATGGCTTGACCTACTGGTACCAGTTGGACCAAGAGCATAACGTCCGGATGTACGTGGAAGAGCAGGACGATCAAGACGGATCTTCGTGGAAGTGCATCGTCAGGTACCCTCCGTGGTTAATTTCTGGCTGCTTGCTCAACCTGGAGCCCTCAAGCGTGTTCCCCCAAAGGTGCTTTTTCAAAAGGCAACTGGACTTCGTTTTTTAATAATAATAATAATAATAATAATAATAATAATAATAATAATAATAATAATAATAAAGTTGGAAGGGACCTTGGAGGTCATCTAGTCCAGGGCTTTTCAACCTTTTCACCCATTGTACCACTTTTAGGATATGGCAACATCCGAATACCATCAGTCGCCTAGCAAGGTGTCAAAAACTTGATGACCAAAAAAAAAAAAAAAAGGGAAAAAAGTGATAAAGTACAGGTAGTCCTCGACTTACAACAGTTCGCTTAGTGACTGTTCGAAGTTACAATGGCACTGAAAAAAGTGCCCCCCAACCCACAGCCGAGTAAGACACCTGCTTGTTCACCCAGCGGCGCTCTTCCTCCTGTCCGAGGTTTTCATTGTTGTGAGCATTTCTGTTGAGGATTGGCAGCAGGGGTGGGGTGGGGGGGTGTTTGGTTTTTATTCCCCCCGTCTGCTGGGTGGTTGCAGCAGGTTTTGGTCACTTCACATGACCCTGGGACACTGTGACCGTCATAAATATGAATCAGTTGCCAAGCATCTGAATGTAAATCACAAGGCCCTGGAGATGCTGCAACATTCCAGCTGATCGGTGCTTCTTCTGGGCTCAGCAGAAGCACCAGGATCAGTGCTGAGTTCCAGCTGGAGCCTGGCGCTGATCCTGATGCTTCCGCTGAGCCCTGACAGCCCTGCAGCTCCAGCCATCTCTCACCCAGGCTTGTGCAGTGCTGCTACCGGTTCAGCTCATTCCCCTCCCCCGCTACCACTTTTCTAGGATGGTCGCGTACCACCTGCCAGGTGCCAATGTGCCACAGGTGGTACCCGTACCACTGGTTGAAAAGCCCTGACATAGATGACTGAGAATCTCCATAGACATCCCTCAAGCTTGTTGGCTGCAGAAGTCTGGGAGTTAAGCCCAGTGTATTTGGAGGGCACCAGGTTGAGGAATGATGGACTGTTTTTGTTTTTTTTTAAACCTATCAGCAGGCTCAGGTAATTTTTCCAAAGAGAATCGCTGTGATTTTCCAAACTGCCTGTCTTGCACGGTTAGAAATTCTTAACGGCTGCCTCTAGGGTCCTGTTTAGTTCTGCAACACGATAGGGTCCTTTACGTGGAAAAAAAAATAAAGAATTTAACCCTTACCAAGGGTTAAAAATACAGCCAGGGCTGTGGGCTCAGCTGGAGGAGTGAATTCTGATCCTTACTCCAATTAAATGTTTGGGGTTCAAAATATTGGATCCTGCTAAACACGCAAATATAGCTGAGGAAGAAGGTTGGGATTGATGCAGCTCTTAATAAGGAATAGAATAGAATAACAGAGTTGGAAGGGACCTTGTGGGTCATCTAGTCCAACCCCCTGCCCAAACAGGAGACCCTATGCCAGTGGTGGCGAACCTATGGCACGGGTGCCAGAGGCGGCACTTAGAGCCCTCTCTGTGGGCACGTGCGCCGTCGCCCCAGTCCTAGGCCTTCAGCTGGGTTTTATAAAACCTTTTTGCTTTAGGCCTCCGCCGCCGTGTACAAAAAAAAAAAAAGGTTCAATCAATCGGTCAATTTCAACTTCTCGCGGGAAAAAAAAGATCTTGGAAAGTTGGAATTGATTGATTGAACTTTTCAGTCCCACCCAGTCTGCTGTTACCACCGCAGCCACACCCACTCAATGGGCCACACCCACCCGGCACCCGACGATGCATAAGTGGGTTTTGGGTTGCAGTTTGGGCNAAAAAAAAAAAAAGGTTCAATCAATCGGTCAATTTCAACTTCTCGCGGGAAAAAAAAGATCTTGGAAAGTTGGAATTGATTGATTGAACTTTTCAGTCCCACCCAGTCTGCTGTTACCACCGCAGCCACACCCACTCAATGGGCCACACCCACCCGGCACCCGACGATGCATAAGTGGGTTTTGGGTTGCAGTTTGGGCACTCGATCTCTAAAAGGTTCGCCGTCACTGCCTTACGCCATTTCTGACAGATGGCAGTCCAGTCTCTTCTTGAAAGCTTCCAGTGACGAAGCTCCCACAACATCTGGAGGCAAGCTGATTGATTGTTCTCACTGTCAGAGAATTCCTCCTTATTTCATGTTGAATCTCTCGATCACCCGTTGTTCCTTGTTTGGCCTTCAGGTGCTTTGGAAAATAGGTGGACCCCCTCTGTGATAGCCCCTCAAATATTGGAACGCTGCTATCATGTCTCCCCTGGTCCTTCTCTTCACTAGACTAGCCGTGCCCAGTTCCTGTTTATATGTTTTAGCCTCCAGTCCCCTAATCATCGTTGTTGCTCTTCTCTGCACTTTTTTTTTAGAGTCTCAACATCTTTTTTTGTAGTGTGGAGACCAACATTGGTTGCAGTAATCCAGGTGTGGTCTTACTAAGGCTTTATAGAGTGGTATTAGTACCTCACGTGATCTTGATTGAATCCCTCCGTTAATGCAACTTAGAATTGCATTGGCTTTTTTTGGGCCGCTGCCGCACACGGCTGGCTCCTATTTAATTGATTGTCCACTAAGACCCCAAGATCCCCTCTCACAGTTGCTGCTATTAAGCCTGATTTCATCCAATCTGTATGTGTACTATTGGTTTTTTTCTTGCCTTTACGTTTCTCTGTGTTGAATTTCATTTTGGTTTCTTTCAGCCTCAGCAGCTTTAAGACGTGTGGTCTTTAGATCCCAGAATTCCCCAGCCAGCTGAGAGGGAGAAGTTATTCCAGTTGGGAAATAACGGATCTAGGATTTTAAAACAAGAGTTAGTCAGTTGTGTTTCCCAGGCCAGATATTCTCTCTTTCCTTGCTTGCAAATGCTGGCACGGAACGGCAGGCAGAGAGATTTGGGCAGGAGTGAGTGACACATTACGTTTCTAATTTTTCTGAGGTTTGGTGCATGTCTTATTTTTCATCCAGAAGCCGAAATGAGCTGGCTGAAACTCTTGAGCTCCTGAAAGCACAAATTGATCCTGCACTGTTGAAAAACCAGGAAAACTCCTCGCAAGAGAGTCCTAGCACTGAAGATGAAGAGGCCAAAAAGAGGGAAGACACACCAATGCAAGGTTTGAGTATTGTTCTTATCTGGCGGTGGGCAGTCTCCACGGAGAATTGGCACTCCATAATAAACTTCCTTCAAAGGCCTATTGTTGATTCTCCTTAGCCTCTAAGTTTCAAAAACTTGGCTAATTTGACTGTTAATTTTTGCAGTACCAAAGTATTTGGAAGTTGAATTCGGTTCACAGAAACATAACTCTGCCTTTTCTTCTGAAGTGGACAAACTTCTCCCAAGAGGAATAGAATAGAACAGAACAGAACAGAACAGAATAGAGAAATATAGATTAGAATAGAATAGAATAGAATAGAATAGAATAGAATAGAATAGAATAGAATAATAGAATAGAATAGAATAGAATATGGAATGGAATGGAATGGAATAGAATAGAATAGAATATGGAATAGAATAGAATAGAATAGAATAGAATAGAATAGAATAGAATAGAATAGAATAGAATAGAATATGGAACGGAACAGAAAAGGGAATAGAATAGAATAGAATCTATCTGCAACTCTTTAAAGCAGCTGTGTCTTTTTCTTGGATTATGTTATATGGGAGCACAGATATACCACTTATGTGCAACTGTTTAAAACAGCTGCATTTTTCCCCTAGATTATATGATATATGGAGGCATAGATGTAGCACCTCTGTGTGACTCTTTAAAGCAGCTGCGTCTTTTCCCTGGATTATATGACAGCATATGGGGACATGGATGTACACCCTATCTGCCACTCTTTAAAATACCTGCATCTTTCCCCTGGATTAAATCATATATGGGGGCATAGATGTAGCACCTATCTGCAACTCTTTAAAGCAGCTGCCTCTTGGTTATACCATATGGGGACATAGATATAGCACCTATATGCCGCTCTTTAAAGCAACTACATCTTTCCCCTGGATTCTATAATATATAGGGGCACAAATGTCGCACCTATTTGCTACATCTTAAAGCAGCTGCGTTTTTTCCCCAAATCGTATGACAGCTGCAAAGGGCAGCCTCACCTTCCTGGGAAAAGTAGCAGCTTTAATGAGACGCCGATGGAGGCTGTGGCTGCACTGCTGTACATTCTACGTGTTGTTTCTGAATATTTTCCAAAATCACTGCACAATCCCGGCTGCGTGCAGGTCTCTGATCCGAGCTGGGTCTAATTAACGCTGATTGTTGTTCTAAATGTATTTTGTTTTCTCTTGTTTTTAACGGCAAGCAGAAGGCGAGTTGAAGGTGAAGGAAGAAAAAGGGGAGCCGGCAGAGGGACTGCCCCAGCCCAGCGAAAAACCTCCGCCTCCCGCGGTTCCAGCAGAGGAGAAGAAGATCAAAGTAGAGAAAGCGGAAGAGAGGGACATCATCAAGCTGCCCGTTATCGTCAAACTCGAAAAGCCCCCGGAGAACAACGGGGAAGTGCCGAGCGCCAAAGAGGAGAACGACTCCTTCAAAGAAAACGTGAAGCCCGAGAAAGCGGAAGCGAAGGAGCACAAGCCGGAGCCCAAAGACTCCAGAGAGGCCAACAGCCACGCCGAGCGGCTGGCCCTCGAGCCGGAGAGGATCGAGTTCTGCGTCAGCGTCAAAACGCCCCAAGATGTCGCGGAGAGAACGGCGGAAGAGAACGAGAAGCTGAAAAACGACCAGCAGGCCAAGATCCCCCTCAAAAAACGGGAGATCAAGCTGACCGACGATTTCGACAGCCTGCTGAAAGCGCCCCTGCGGAAATGCATCACCCCAACCAAAGAGGTGTCCAAAGAGGAAGCGGGAAAACCCGAGGAGGAGACCTTTAAGAGGGTTCCCACCATCACCGACGGGAAGTTCCTGGTCAACGGGGAAATGGGCGGGGAGAAACTCCCGTTGAATAACAAATTGGACCGTTCCCCTTGCCCGAAGGAAGAAGCTGCCGGCCTGCCGAAGGAGAAAAACGGGCTCGGGGAGGAACGAGTCCAAGAGGGCGTCAGCGCCATCGTGAGAACCAGTGATGCCGAGAGGTGCTTTTTGCATCCCGCGAAGGAGACTGTGGGGGTGATTGTGCCTTTACGGGAGGAGCCCAGCCCCAAAGGAGGCGAAAGCCAGCCGGCGGGGAGAAAGCCAGACGAGACCCTTTCCAAGGCAAGCGACGCTCCGAAGAAGAAGTTTGACGACTCTCTTAGAGCCAACGACAGCGTGATACTTTCCAACGACAACTTAGGAAAACCCGCCAAGCTACCCTCCCCGAAGGAGCCAGCTCTGGCTTCGGAGGCCGACGATTTGCAAAAAACAGGTCCTTCGGGCGAGAAAACAGACTCGGCCAGCCGGGATGCCACACCATCTCCCGTTTCAGTCCTCTCGTTTAAGAAAACTGCGGTGGGAAAAGAAGGCTCCGATTCCCAAGTCGCTTTCCCCGATCAAAGGAAAGCGTGCGAGGAGCAGGAGGCGAAAACTCCGAAGGACTCTGATCCTCCAGCCGGAGAGCTGCCAGCCCCAGACAGCCTCCCGAACTCCGTCAAGGAAGCTCCTGTGGAGACGAAGAAAGAATCTGTAAAAAGCAAGTGTAAATACAAGCTGATTTCGGAAGAAGACAGTTCTCTGACCGAGAACAGGGAAATAACCTCTGAGAGGCAGAAAGACGGGATCAAGCTAACGATCCGCATCTCTAGTCGGAAAAAAACTGACCCACTCCCGAACGCCGCCGCTGGAAAAGAGCCGGAGGAGGAGGAGGTAGTCAGCGTCGGTCGCATTTTAAGACGGTCCCCCCGGATATCTAAACCGACCCCCAAGGTAGTCGAGACCCGCGATCAGAAATCTGAGAAGAAACGAAGCGAGGAAGAGGAAGAGAAAGCGGCTTCGTTGCAAAAACAGGAGAAGAAAGACGACTCCAAAAAACCAGAGAAGGAGACGAACTCTAAAAGCCACAAGGTGAAATTTCAGGAGGGATTGCCGTGGTCTTTTACTGTTTAAAAATTTAGAGATGGAGGCAAATGTTTTCATCACCTCCCTCTAGCCCTCTATAACAGTGGTTCTCAACCTGTGGGTCGGGACCCCATTTGGGGTCGATCGACCATTTCATGGGGGTCGCCAAGCAAGGC